GGCTCCGCCGTGCTCCGGGCGACGGCACCACCGCTGGCGGCGGCGAGTCGCCTCGGGTTGGCTGTTTTCGGCCGTTTTCGGCCGAATTCGGCCACACTCGCATTGGTCCTTGTCAGAAAACAACCCTAGGGCCCTCGGGGGGCCAAAAAATCACGGAAAAACGGAGCTTACCGGCGGCGGCGCTCTCGGGTGCAGCGGCTCTCCGGCGAGGTTCGTATTTTGGTGATTCGGCTCCGGTCAACCTGTAGAGAAAAGAATGGTGATCACGGTGATATAAAAATTGCATCGAACGGAGGCCGGGAAGGGCCTCGTCGGAGGCAAAAACCGAGAGGGGGCGCGGCGGCGCCGCTGGGCTTCGGCCGCGTATTCCGGCCGTTTGGCCGGGATTTCGGCTTCGATTTGGCCATAGGAGGAATCAGTGGGGAAAAACGAGTCGGGGTATGAAATTTACCTCGATCGGCGGTCGGAAATTTCCCCGGTGCGGCGGCGAGTGGCGGCGGGTGGCGGCGGTCGGCCTCTGGTTCGTCTTCTCCGGCGAGCGGCTGGCGGCTAGGGTTTGTGGTCTGGTGTGGGGGTTCTATTTATAACCCCTTGCCTTTTGATCACAGCCGTTCGTTTCGTTTTAATCTGGGCCGTTCGTTTTTGATTGAATCTGGGCCGTCCGTGCGTTTGAATCTGGGCCGTTCGATCGCGTGATTGATCTGGGCCGTCGGATCGCACCCACGCGGATCGCCAACGTGGCTCCTTTCGGAGTGACGCGATCTTGCCACGTGGCAGGCCCTGGTTGGCTGGGACTGCTGACGTGGCTGCTGACGTGGCCCCCCCTTTTTTTTTTTTTTTTTTTTTTTTCCTCCTCCTTTCCGGGTGCTACACCGCATGCCAGGGAGACCGAACGGTCTGTATCCACTCTCGCGTGCACGAACAACCTAGATCACTTCCGTGGATAAACCTGATCGAATGGTTCGTGCGTCTTCAATCGAACGGTCTGGATTCATTTCCGAAATAAGTAGGATCTGATGGTTTCTATTGATCCATGCAGGCCCAAATGGACGACCCAGATCGAGGAGAGGGGAGTATTTAAACATCTCATTCAGCTGAACCCCAGACCCTAGCCAACACGTCTCGTTGGAGAAAAAGAAGAAGGGTGGCCGAAAGAAGATCCAGCCAATGGAGGAACGTCGGCGCCACTATGCCGGATTGCCAAAGACACTCTGGTAGGTCAAAAATTCTTCTCGTTATTCCCCTTGCTCCATTAACAGTCTTAATTAATTATACATATCTATTAATTCATAAAATACTATTTTATCATTTATTAAGCTTTAATGCCGTGATAGAAAATAGAGTGAGGGATCCTTACTTGTTTCAGAGTCTGAAATCGGGTTCTCATTGCGCCTATGGGTAGTCCCTAGATTCCCTGAATTTTTTTCTTTGGAAATTGAAACACACTTCCGGTATCTGCACATGTCCCCAAAAAATCCTAAATCAGACCCAGGCCCCTTTCGGCCAATTTCAGAATTCTAGTATGGCAGCTCCGCCGTGCTCCGGCGACGGCGCTGCCGCCCAGGGCGGCGATCCACCTCGGGTTGGCTGTTTCCGACCGAATTCGGTCAAACTTGCATTGGTTCCTGTGATAAAACACTCATAGGGCCCTCGGTGGGCCAAAAAATTTCAGAAAACCGAGACTTACCGGCGGCGAAACTCTCGGGTACGGCGGCTCCTCCGGCGCGAGTTGCGATTTGGTGTTTTGCTCCAGTCAACCTATAGAGAAAAGGACGGTGATCACAGTGGTATAAAAATTACATTGAACGGGAACCGGGAAGGACCTCATCGGAGGCAAACCGAAGAAACCCGCGGCGGCGGCGCTGGACTTCGGCGATGTTTTCAAGCCAATCGGGTTGGTGGTTTGGCTCCGATTTGGCCACAGGGAGGTTCAGCATCGAAAAACGAGCCAAGATGAGAAATTTTACCTCGTTGGCGGTCGAAAAATCTCCTGTGCGACAAACAGGTAACGACGGCCGGTTCCTCCGGTGACTAGGTTGTCTTTTCCAACGAGGGTTCTGGCGGCTAGAGTTTGGGGTTGTGTGTGAATGCGATTATTTATAACCCTCCCCTTTTAATCTGAGCCATCCATCATGATTTAATATGAACTATCCGATCGCGATTAAATTAGAAATAAATTTAGACCGTCCATCGTAATGCGATCTGGGCCGTTCGTGCGTGATCAAATCTGGACCGTTCGCACGCGTGAGATCTGGACCATCCATGCGTCCTTTTGATCTAGATCGTCCGTGCGTGCGAGAACGGATCTGGACCGTCCGATCGCGCGCATGCCACACGATTTTCAGCGTCACTGCCACACGGCTTATCTTGGTTGGCCAGGGCTGCTGACGTGGTTGTTGACATGACACTATTTTTATAAATTACGTTTTGACTACCAGTTTTCGATTTTCTTTTTAAAAACACTCATATAATTCAAAAGTTTACCCATTTTTCTCAAAATTAATTTCAATTAAATCTCAAAAATAATTTTATCTTATTTTATTATTATTATTTTTTATTTCTATTAAATTAAGCCTTATAAATTAAATATTAAAATAGAATAAAATTAAACAAAATTCTAATAAAAAATTAAAATAAAATAAAAATAAAAAAAATAAAAAAATAAAAAATTTTGGGTGTTACAATAGAAGACATCCAAAATTTTCAATTCGATTTTCGATTGTATTGACAATTTGATACAATGAAAGACATGGTGTGGGGAAAAGAGCAAAAGGAGCTTAGAGATGTTCTACTTGTCCACTGTATCTCTCTTTTGCTTGATTTCCCTTAAGTTCTTTGTTAGAAACCCAATTCATGAGAATCCTAAATATTCTCAAGGGCCTCTAGTTTTCTGCTTCCTATGTAAGTTTATTTGAGTTATCATAAAGGTGAATTCTTTGCATCTTTTAAATTTTTCGGTATGTTTTGATAATTTTTCGGTATGTTTTGATAAGGGTTCGTAGCAGACGAAAGAGAGATTCATTGTTTTTTTTTAACATAATCGTGATATATAAATGTTGTACATCTATAAAAAAAAATAATTCTTATATCGAAGTTCTGGTTTATATAGTTTATAATACTATTTTGAATATTTTTTTAAAAAGATTTTTTATAGTTTAATATGTATGAAAATATCTGATTTTATTTAATAAATAAATTAATAAAAATATAATCATATTTAAAAAATTAATTAGAACACTAATCATTTAATTAGACCGCAATGAAAGTCTTATCAAAAGAAAATGATAGCTATGGTTCTAAATTGATATAAATATTTTGTAATTTCTCTTTAAAGAGAAATATAAATTCTCTACATTATAATTAAATAATATACAAATAAAACATAAATCATAATTATATTTTATACGTTAAGTAATTAAAAAATAAAAATAAAATAAAGCATAGTAAATTTGAATCAATCACAACATAATAATATCGTCTATTAAAATATTTAATCATATGAGTTAACTATTCTAATTTTTATTTAAAATAAAAATTTAAAAATGATTAAAATTATATTTAGTTAAAAAAATGTATATATAAATAGTAAATATGAAATTTAGCCCAACAATATTCAGCATTACCAATTATATACTTCCCCACCTTAAAAAAAAAGTGTCCCCAAATTGGACCCTCAAAAATTCGAACACCGACAGATTGATATAATATTTAATTGTTGTACAATGTAATTTGATATTTCATGCACGAAATTTTTTATTTTGTAGGTCCACATTTATTTGACCTCATAAATTAAAATAAATATTTACAATTTTTTTTCCATATGTTTTATTAGAAGAGTCGGACATTTCACTACTCGATTTTATATTTTAAAGAATAATAAATAAAATTATAAAAATAAATATTTTATAATTGAAAAATTTCAATTAAATACTTAAAATTTCATAATATTTTATTGTATTTATTAATTTAAATTATGTTCAACAACAAAGTTTAAAAAGTAAAATAAATACGAAGACTATTTAAATCACCATGCAAATCCAATCTTTAATTATCACGGCAGCATACAAATCACGAGTTTATTAATTCAACCAGTTTCCCTTGTGTTAAATTGAAGTTATAATTACTATCCTAAAGTTGAAAAAGAATTAAAAGTTAATCATAATATTTTAATGTTATTAAAATTAAATTAAATTGTGTTCATTGATTAATCTCATATTAGGTGAATTATTAGCTAAAAAAATATTATTAAATAATAAATTTTTATTATGACTAATTATTTTAATATATATGCTTCATGGTTTAAAATGGATAAAGCCATTGATTACATTTAATTTTTTTAGACATGTTGGCTTCTAATAATCTCATCATCATGGATTTTGGAATTTGAAAATTTCACCTAAATAAATTTCAATCATTGTAATATTATATTTATTTAAATATTATAAATTCGAATTAATATAAAATTTGATATTTTTTGAGTTTATTATATATCAATAGTACTATATGGTTTGATTTATTTATTTATTATTATGATTATAATAATTAAATTAATTTTTATTATATTAAATTACGATGAATACAGACGAAAAATAATATTTTATAATAAGTTTAACTTTTGGTAACAAAAAACGCATTTGACAAAACCGATATTACCTTTTTGATTAAATTTTTCACTCATTTATACAACTTTTATGAATTGTAAATATAAATCAAATTCCAATCTCCTTCATATAACAAGAAAAAGG